CATTCAGAACATGTATGGAGTGATAACTTTTAAAAGAGTACTTTACAGATTCAAAAGTAGAACAATGGACAAAATAGAGAATTCAGAAATAAACTCCATTTGTATATAAATTTAATATCCAACAAACTTAACAAAAACTAATATACTTATTCCAGCTCTAAAATATAATATTATTAGTGAAAGCAAGAAAATAAGTAAAATAAATAGCTACAGTGCACCAAAAAAAATTTCACGAAAGAAATCAAGTATAGATTTTAAATATACATTATAGATAAAGGTTTACAGAAGCATCAACATGTTGTAAGCACAGTAACTTACTGAACTCTTACTTTGTGCCCAGTGCAAGTCTGGGGCTCGTACTCGGATATTCCATTTGATAGTGCAACAGTTGTCTCAGTAGGTACAATTACTGTCCCCTATGTATGAGCAAAGACACGAAGGCATTAAGTTAAATAACTTACCCAGAGTCACACAGCTAATAACAATAGAGATAATGATATCCAAAGAAATCAACACTAAACCAAATTTGGGGGAAAAAATCTAATTTTACCAGTCACAACATAAGTGTAAATACAGGGAATATGATAGAGCAGTTACATGGACCCAAGAATAAAAGTAAAGGCATATCCTAATGAAGACTAGCCAGTTTATGGAGAAACATCTGCATGTATAGTGATGGCAACGTAAAATATTTTTCCTATATAAGTTATTATACCCTTTGTTTGACTGGGTGATTTCACATCGAAGAATGTATCCCATGGGAGTCCATCCTATGCCTTGCTCCCAAACATCTCTCAAGAAATTGTTCTCAAAAGTTGTAACTATGAAAACATGACTGAAGAAAAATGCTTTTTCATTTTCCTAAACAGGAGTTCTCAAAGTTTATGAGAAATGTGCACTCGGGGAAGACTTTAAGGAAATAGATAAATTAATTAAATAACGAAAGGGAAAAGTCAGAACATTAATGAACCAATAGGAAACTAGAAACAGACCCTAATTTTAAAAGCCTGTACATGTATATATGACAGAAGGTTGATAGATAGGAGGTCTTAGAATATGGCTTGTGCATCTTGCTTTGGTATTTTGTCCTTTTGAATTCCTGTAGTTGTATATGGTCATGATTTGGAGTGTAGTGTGGTCAAAATAATATGTGCCCCAATGAAAACAGTCCCTTGACTATGGTAGAAGGCCTGCCTGTTTTTACACATTCATGTTTCCTGCAATGTCTTGTCAGCCCAGGAGTCTCTTGACAGATTGCAACAGAATAGGGAGTGAATATCTGGATCCAACTAGTGAACTTTTCCAGCTATATCTCTCCTGGCCTAAATTGTTACATTTGTAAAATGGAAACCATCAGAGATCTATGGTACAATGGAATGAATTCTATCCTGGAATTTAAAAGGCTCAGGGTCTGCTTACAGCTCTAACACTGATCAGCCATGCCACCTCTCTTAGCCTTGGCTTACTTATCCATAAAATAAAGTCACCCAAAAGAGGTTAGAACTAGAAGGGACCTTGGAGACTAGGGTATGTCAACTTTTAAAATGAAGTGCATGTCCCACCCCCAAGGGAATTTCACATAGTGACACTTTCTGGAAAAAATCTCATGTAGTGACACTTTCTTATTGTGAAAACAACTAGTATAATAATTCTGCTTTTTCAAAACGTATTTTAGTCTTTATCATCCTGATATCTATCTGCATTCCCAACCCCAACTCCCACCCTCAGGCAGTTGAGAACCCTCGATCGAGGCTGTCACAATGATTCCAGCCACCCTCATGGCTGGCTACGGTTGCCCAATGTTCCATACTGTAAGCTTTTGCTACCTTAAACTTCCAAAGGCTTCGTGCATCTTGCCTTCCCCTTTAACCTGCCCTTATCAAATTAAGTACAACTTCATTGATACGGATTTCTCAGTGTAGTTTCAACTACCTCCCTAGTCTTACTTCAGTCCTTACACATGAGTATCCCCTGAAGGTAGCTCACGTGTCACTACCCAGAGCCCCTCTCTCCTCCACCTGTCACGGTTCAACCATCTTCCATGACTCATCTCACCCACCTCCCTGACCTCTAAAATGGGTATGCTACCTCCCCTCTTCGAATGTCCATGGGATTTTATTTATGCTTAGCTAGGTATTGGTCACACTTCAGTGAGTTAGAAGGTGCTCGAGGATGGTGATTGTATCTTATACCGCTTCATAAGACCCAAAGATCCTAAGAAAGCAGTGTTTTCAAACTTCTGGCCATGATCTACACCAAGATACGTGTTTACATTGTGACCTACTGTACACATGTGTGTAGGCATATTTATAATTGAAACAAAGCTTTCATAACATCACTCATATTCTTCTTGCCTTTGATGATGCACTCTGATATTTTCTTTCTTTTCTGTTCTGTTCATTTCTGGTCTAAATTGATTTTATGACCCTTAGTCACAGTTGTAAACAAACACCATAATACAGCACATTGCACATAGTAGGTGTACTATTGTATATGTTTCATTAAATTGACTGGGCTTTTGACAAGATTATTATAGAAATATTACTGATCCATGAATATATTCAATGAACCCATATTGATATATTATGTTTATTTAGATGTTAATTTCATGAAAAATCTTTAAATTCTCAAAATGGTGCTGCTTTCTTTTTAATTTTACATGACAAGCCAATCTGAGAAGGCAGTTCATTTTCATCCATTTTTATAGTAAGGAGATGAAGAAATGTAGTTGTACAGTAATTACCATTGTGAAAGCAAAGCCCCTAAGAGTAATGGATTTGACATATCATGATAGTGTTTATCAAGTGCCAACAATGTGCCCGGCATTGTGCTAGGTGCTTTATATACATTTCCTCAAATCCCGTGACAGCCCAACAGAATAAGAAATCATCACCACTTTGTGAGAATGCCAAATCAAACTGCAGTATTTTACTTTATTCGGTGAAAATTCTTAGCATTAAACTGAAATCATGAGTTCTGATTTGGTTTTATTTCTGAAAAGGTTTTATTTCCCACAAAGTTCCCTGTAATTTAGCAAGTTTTTTTTTTTCACAGTACGTTTTAACTGTGTTCAGCGCTTATGAAAAATGTCAGACTGATGGTGTTGAGAACGAAAGTTGTACCAACTGACGAGTCAGTTTCTTGATGTTCATTTTATGAACTTAATTAATTGAAAAATGTAACAGAAA